TTCTCGCTCGCTCTCTCGCTCTCTCTCTCTCTTGCTCTCTCTCTCTCTCTCTCTCTCTCTCTCTCTCTCTCTCTCTCTCTCTCTCTCTCTCTCCCTCTCCTTCTTTCCTCCCTTCCTTCCTTCCTTCCTTCCTTCTTTCTTTCCTTCCTTCCTTCCCTGCCTCCTTCCCTCCCCCCTCTCTGCCTCCTTCCCTCCCCCTCCCTCCCCCTCTCCCTTCCACCTCTCCTTCCCTCCCTTTTTCTATCTATCTATCTATCTCTCCCTATCCCCCGGTTCGCTTGCCCGGTCCGCCACCTGCATCCCAGTGGGTGGCATCGCCTATGTGTAGGAACCCGATCGCAGCCACTGGCCATTGCACAAACATATACACTTTTTAAGCCGAAATCCAAATACCTTCTGGTACTAAGTGTGTTTAACATCGGCAACAGTACCCCACACGTGGTCTAAACAGAAGAAACAAACAGATCGCAAACGGGCAAATAAACGGTATGCTCGACTGACAGAAGGCGAGGGGCGAGCCAAACACCGGCTTTGCAAAATAAACGGATATTGGAGAGGTCGGTGCTGGGATTTATTTATGATTTTTTTTCTTGTTTTTCCTTTTTTCGTTTTTTTTTTTTTTTTTTTTTTTTTTTTTTTTTTGCGTCGTTTATGTGGGTTGTTGTTGTCTTTTGTTATTTTATATTATCCTCTCTCTCTCTCACTCTCTCTCTCTCTCTCTCTCTCTCTCTCTCTCTCTCTCTCTCTCTCTCTCTCTCTCTCTCTCTCTTAATCTTTCTTCTTCTTCTCCTTCTCCTTCTCCCTCTCCCTCTCCCTCTCCCGCACCCAGTCACACGCACACCCCATCTAGCGACCCTTCCGCAAACTACTCCCTTCAGTCTCGCCCTTCCCCCGGCCGCGTGTGTACGCTGCCGCTCACGCCTCGTCTCGTCTGCCAACATCTCGTTATTTCTCTTTTATCCTGTTTGTTTTCATCCGGCGTCGCTTTTCATCGTCTGCTGCGTCTCGTCCTTTCGGTTGCTTGGTTGATTGTAGGTTTGCGGTTGCTTGCCTTTTGTTGATTCTTATTATTTGGTTTGATGTTGGGTTATGTTGTTGCTTGATCGAAGTATTGTCTTTGATGTATTCTTTTGTGGGTTAGATACGTGCACAAGGAAATACTGTATGCATTTATACATACATACATACATGCATACATACATACATACATACACACACACAAACTCGCGCGCACACACACGCACACGCACACACACACGCACACACACACACACACACACACACACACACACGCACACACACACACACACACACACACACACACACACACACACACACACACACACACACACACACACACACACACACACATACGCCCGCCGCCTTCCACATCTCTCGGTTTATAAGGAAAGGGTAAAGTCGTTTAAAGCGTAGCCTATCCTCCACGCTATCTCGGCCGTTTATTATCCTTTTATATTTCTCACTCCCTTCTCTGTCTTTTTTTTCTTCTTTTTATTGTTCCTTTCTCACTCCTTTCTTATTTCCTTTCTTGCTCTTTTTTCTTCATCACCATCATCATGGCCATTGTCTTATATATTGTTTTCATTTTTATCATATATTTATCAGCTCTATCAAATTCTCCTCTCCTTCTCACTCTCCTTCTTCCTGATCTCCCATCTCTTGCCTCTCCTTCTTCGTTCTTCTTTGTCTTATAACTCTTATTCTACTTACTCTTCCTCTTATTTCACTTTTTTCTCTTCTTATTATTCCACCTTTTCCTCTTCTTCCTCTTTCGTTTCTTCCACTTCTTTCTCTTTTTCCTCTTCCTCTTATTCCACTTTTTGTTCTTCCTGTTCCTCTTCTTCCATTTTTTGTTCTTCCTCTTTTTCTTCTTCCTCTTCCTCTTATTCCACTTTTTCTTCCTCTTCTTCCTCTTCCACTTCCTCTTATTCCACTTTTTCTTCCTCTTCCTCTTATTCCACTTTTTCTTCCTCTTCCTCTTATTCCACTTTTTCTTCCTCTTCTTCCTCTTCCTCTTCCTCTTATTCCACTTTCTCCTCTTCTAGTCTCTTATCGTCGCCACGCGTTTCAGACATATACATCACTCCCCCCCCCCCCCCCGACCTCTTTTTTTGTCTCTTTCTTTCTCTCTGTTTCTCTCTTTGTTTGTATTTCTGATTTTTCTGTCTATATATTTTTTTCCTCTCTTTCTTTATTCATCCACCCCCCCTCTCTCTTTCTCTCTCTTAAGCTGCCTGTTTATCACTTACTCTCTCTTTCTTTCTTTCTCTCTCCCCCTCTCCCTTTCCTTCCCTCCCTCCCTCCCCCTGTCCCACCTTCCCTCCTCTCTCCTTCCCTCCCCCACCCCTCCCTCCCTCCCCCCCATATCCTCCCCCCTCGGCGGCCGGCACAGCATTCCGACAAGGGATCGCCCGATGCCTTATCTCGGCCTTCAACCCTCGCGACGCGGATCGGAGGACCACCCGAGGAGAGGGGAGAGGGGAGAGAGATTGGGGGAGGGGAGAGATGGGGGAGGGGAGAGGGGAGAGAGATGGGGGAGGGGAGAGGGGAGAGAGATGGGGGAGGGGAGAGAGATGGGGGAGGGGAGAGGAGAGAGATGGGGAAGGGGAGAGGAGAGAGATGGGGAGGGGAGAGGAGAGGGGAGAGAGATGGGGGAGGGGAGAGAGATGGGGGAGGGGAGAGGAGAGAGAGATGGGGAGGGGAGAGAGATGGGGGAGGGGAGGGGAGAAGGGAGAGAGATGGGGGAGGGGAGGGGAGAAGGGAGAGAGATGGGGGAGGGGAGAGGAGAGGGGAGAGGGAGAGAGATGGGGGAGGGGAGAGGAGAGAGAGATGGGGAGGGGAGAGAGATGGGGGAGGGGAGGGGAGAAAGGAGAGAGATGGGGGAGGGGAGAGGAGAGGGGAGAGGGAGAGAGATGGGGGAGGGGAGAGGAGAGAGAGATGGGGAGGGGAGAGAGATGGGGGAGGGGAGGGGAGAAGGGAGAGAGATGGGGGAGGGGAGAGGAGAGGGGAGAGGGAGAGAGATGGGGGAGGGGAGAAGGGAGAGAGATGGGGGAGGGGAGAGAGATGGGGGAGGGGAGAGGAGAGAGGGAAGAGGGAGGTGAGAACATGGGGGGAGAGGGTAAAAAGGGGGGAAAGGGAGAGAAAGGGAGGAGAGGGGGATAATCGGAGGATGTAGTAAGAGGGTAAGAGGGAGGGCCATAAGAAGGGGAAGAAAAGATAGGAGGAGAAGGGGGAAGCGAAAATAGGAGGAGGAGGAGATAGGGGAAGCGAAGATAGGAGGAGAGAGGGGAAGAAAATATAGGAGGAAAGAGGGGAAGCGAAGATAGGAGGAGAGAGGGGAAGAAAAGATAGGATCGGAAGCTAATGACAGGGGAAGTAAGGGGAAGGTAAGGAGAGGAGCGTTAGGAAGGAAGGAAAGTTGGAGAGTAGCGAATGGACAAGGGGGGGGGGGCGAGGAGAAGGAAGAAGTGTGAAGGAAGGGAGAAGGAAAATGGAAGGCAGTGGAAGGTGGGAAGGAGGGGAAGGGGAAAAGGAGACGGAGATAAGAGAGGAAAGATTGGGAGGTGAAGGAAGAAGCCTGTTTATCTCTCACTTTTCTATCTACTTCTCTCTCTCTCTCTCTCTCTCTCTCTCTCTCTCTCTCTCTCTCTCTCTCTCTCTCTCTCTCTCTCTCTCTTCTTATGCTTGAAGACAAGACACACTTCGCATACTTTGAATAGAGAAAGTAAAGGGGGGGAAAAAATCCGTGCTATGTAATTTGACGATTTTGTATCGTTTTAAAGAGTGGTCATTGTTTCTTTAAGTAGGGCTTCCAGATAACTGAAATACTGAATTGTTATTATTGTTTGCTATGTTTTTTGTTCCAGATCATGGAGTCTGAAAGACCTCTGCTTCGCCCCGAGTCTACCCGAGGTGGAAGATTATATGATAGAGCAGGTGAGATTTACTTTGCGGTTTCTCTACACTGTTATTTGATGTTTCTAGCTGTTGATTTTATTATCTTTGTGCATTTCTATTTCTCTCTCTCTCTTTCTTTTTCTTTCCCTCTCTCTCTCTCTCTCTCTCTCTCTCTCTCTCTCTCTCTCTCTCTCTCTCTCTCTCTCTCTCTCTCTCTCTCTCTCTCTCTCTCTCTCTCTCCCTCTCTTCTCTCTCTCTCTCTCTCTCTCTCTCTCTCTCTCTCTCTCTCTCTCTCTCTCTCTCTCTCTCTCTCTCTCTCTCCTCTCTCTCCCTCTCCTCTCCTCTCTCTCTCTCTCTCTCTCTCTCTCTCTCTCTCTCTCTCTCTCTCTCTCTCTCCTCCTCTCCTCTCTCTCTCTCCTCTCTCTCTCTCTCTCTCTCTCCTCTCTCTCTCTCTCTCTCTCTCTCTCTCTCTCTCTCTCTCTCTCTCTCTCTCTCTCTCTCTCTCTCTCTCTCTCTCTCTCTCTCTCTCTCTCTCTCTCCTCTCTCTCTCTCCCTCTCTCCCTCTCTCTCTCTCTCCTCCCCCCTCTCTCTGTCTCTCTCTCTTCCGCTCTCTCTCTCTCCCCCCTCCCTCCCTCCCTCCCTCCCTCCATCCATCCCTCCCTCCTTTTTTCTTTCCCTTTCTCTCTATCTATCTATCATTCTATCTCTCTCTCACACATCTCTCTTTCCCTTCCTCGCGTCCATCTTCCTTGTCATTTCTCGCAATTCCTCTCAGTCCAGTTGCAATTCCACCCTTTGGTCAGATCTGCAAATGACGGGTTATGAGGGGAAAAGTGGATATGAACGCGGTAAAACTGTACACGAAAGGTGTGCAATCATTTCCCGTTTGTGACGTGGATTCTAATTTTCTAATGTTTTTTTTTTTCTCTCTCTCTCTCCTCTCCTTCTCTCCCGCGTCTTCCCCCCCCCCCTTCCCCCTTTCAGATCTTCGAGAAGATCACCCCCTGCGCTATCATCACGCCCCTGGACTGCTTCTGGGAGGGCTCGAAGCTCCTGGGACCTGAGAACCCAGTCAACCTACCGTAAGTACCATTTTCGCATGTTTCCTTACCCTCTCTTCTTTTCCCTCTTCTTTGGTGTGGCGTTAGTGTGTGTGTGTGTGTGTGTGTGTGTGTGTGTGTGTGTGTGTGTGTGTGTGTGTGTGTGTGTGTGTGTGTGTGTGTGTGTGTGTGTGTGTTTTTCCCTCATTCGTTTTCCTTTTTCTTGATAATGTCGTTAGTGTATGTGTTCTTTTGTTTTTTTGTTTGTTTGTATGTTCGTGTGCGTGTCCGTGTGTATTTGTTGAGGTAAATGCTTCACCACCTGTTGTTGCTTGCCGTGAGGTGGTCCATTCTTTCTACCTTTGTCTTCTCCTCCTTTTTTTTAGATATTAATAAATAAATTCTACTTATTTCCCTTTTTCCTTCTGACTAAAAAAAAACATATTATCGAAGTTATTGCAAGCTCCAAACAAAATAAAACAAGAAGCAAGCAAAAAAAAAGGAATGAATCTCTTGTCTTTCATCCTCCCTCTCATTCTTCCCGCAATCTGTTTATCTCATTTTCGTCCATCACGTTTTGTTCTCGGCGCACCGACGCTTGTCGCATTACGTTTCAAAGAGCTCGGGGGTAATAAGCCATATCAATTCGACAATTTCATTTCTTCGGTTAGCAGTGCGGCCGCTAGAGGGCTATTGCGGAGGAGGATCCAACCTGCCAGAAAAAGCCCGCCAAACCCTGTAATAAACGATCGGAACATTTATAATGGGGTGTCGGTAACTTGCTGATTATTGCTTTGCCGAGGATGAGAAGAGGAGAAAGAGGGAGAATATGTGAGGGAAGGAAGACGAGGGATGAGGAAATAACGCGGAATGTTTGGTATACTTGTTGCAACTTTGGTTTCCAAAGCGGGGAAGGCGAGAATTGGATAGCGTAGTGTAAGAGACAGGGGAAGGGGGAGTGTTATGGCATTAAATACTGGCAAGTTGATGACCATGGCAACGCAGAGGGCATCATGGCAATAGAGGAGAGCATGCCAGGGCGCCGCGGCCGGGCAGAGGGGCAGGCGGGCAGCGGGTCCGAGGGAGGAAGCGAGCCGAGCGGGCGAGGGAGACGTGGGTTGCGCCTTCGTTGCGCGGACCGAGCCGGGATTAAGACATCAAGGAAAGGCCACCCACAGCGCTGCTCCGCCCGCCGCTCTACCTGGAACACACCGCCAGAAAAACGTTGCGGGGCCTCCCTCCACTTAACCAGGTGAGGCGCCCTCCCTCCCTCCCACCCTCTCTCCCTCTCTCCCTCCTTCGCCTCCCCTCCTCCTCCTCCTTCTCCCCTTATCTTCTTTTTTCTTTCTTCATTTCCGATCACCGCCCAGGCTGTGTGATTCCTCCTCACCCGCGCAGAGATACTGTTGAACACGCACAATCACAGGGACCCGAAAGGGAACCTATTCGTACTTGAGCATAGACACACGCAGATCTTGCGCTCTCGCTCACACACACACACACACACACACACACACACACACACACACACACACACACACACACACACACACACACACACACACACACTTCTTTAACATATTCAGAAAATCGAGCAACACTAAAGAACAAAGTAGAAGCTGAGAACAATGGCGGTGGAGAAGGAGAGGAGGGGGTGAGGGGAGAGGGAGCCGTGGGCAGGTGAGGAGCGAGGGGAGGAGGGGTCCCAGGCAGGTAAGGAGAAGGGGGAGGGGGTGACCCAGGCAGGTAAGGAGAGAGGGGAGGGGGGGACCCGGGCACCGGTGCAGCATTATCATCATCGTACAGCTGGCAAGAGGAGGTCGGTGATGAAGACATCAGCGGGGCGGCCACCCACCGCGGCCGGGTCTTAATTTTACGTAATTATCCCTTGGGTAATGTTGGGATCAGTCATGCGGGTGAGCGGGAACGACTCACCTGCATGAAGCTCTCGCAGGGGACCTTCGCACGCCTCCTCCGCTCCTCGACGCAGAAAAAGAAAGAGAAGAGGAGGAGAAAGAGAAGGAAGAACGTTCCTTAGCGCGCCTGTAGGGATCGACCCGCAGGATGTCTGGGGAGATGTAACCGTTGATGCTTGCCGAAGTAAGACAAAGACTTCGTACAGACGTCATTGGGAGTGACGACGAGACAAGCAAATTGCCGAGGACGAGGACGGAGATAGCTCACAGCCGCACCGCCACGACAAGCTGAGAAATTCGAGTATGCATGGAAGGTTATTTCGCGGGGGATGGGTAGAAAGGGGTGAGGGGGAGGGGGGGGGAGAGAGGAGGGATATAGGGGCACTCGGGGTTCGTACTTTTCTCGGCTGAATGAGAGAACAATAGCTAGCTCGACGAGAATACACGCTACAAGAAAAGGGCCTTCAATAGCAATGAGAGTTTTAGTCACAGTTACGGCATGCTTCGAGAACTACAGGACTTCGCCCAAGGAACAGAAGGGCCAGAAGACTACGGGAGAAAGTATGGCTTTTGGATAAGATGGGCTTGATTATTACTCACAGAATCTGAAGTACAAGAGTCCATCGGGGGCTTAGTGCGTGTGAGGACCCGCTGAACTTAGGCCTGCTCAAGAGGCCGAGCCAAGCACAGGGAGCGTCGGAAAGAGAGGGCCAAGGGAGTGCTCAGCCCAAGGGAGGAAGAGGAAAAGGAGGAGAAGAAGAGGGAGGAGGAGGAGGAGGAGAAGGAGGAGGAGGTGGAGGAGGAGGAGGAGGAGGAGGAGGAGGAGGAGGAGGAGGAGGAGGAGGAGGAGGAGGAGGAGGAAGGCTGCGAGGAGGAGGAGAAGGAGGAGGAGGAGGAGGAGGAGAAGGAGGAGGAGGAGGAGGGCCAACTCTCCGGGCAGGTCCAAGAAAGAGAAACACAAGAGGAGGAACAGAATGTCTTGTGGGGTCTGTTTAAAAAAGGCAAGGGAGGGATTCCGTGGCGTGCTAGTATCAAAGGGAAGAAATTGCTTATGCTTGCTTACTTTGGCATACTAATAAACCTAATTATATATTCACAAGCGTAGACAGGTACAAGTGAGTTCTTTGTCGGTCATCATCAGAAGCAGATAGATGAGGCCGCCCGGTGACGCCGCACCATCGTTAAGATTCCATTTGAATTTGAGTTTTTGAATATAACGATCTCCGACAGCGGGGAGGATTTTAATTAGGCTTTCTTCTTTTTTCCAAACTTTCCACTTAACTTACAAAGAGGTAAGTGTTTCAGTGGTGACTATTCAGCCGCATGGGCAGTATTTGTGATCCTGTAATGTTTCTATTTTTTGTCAAGAAAAAAGAAAATGTTTGTGACGAGATAAAGTCAAAAAGACTTGTAATGATCAATTCAATAAAAAGAAAGTGATAATGGACCGAGTCCGAGACTGCTTTGGCGGCCGTCCCAGAGGGCCCGACGGCGCCCCCACCCCCCAAAGCCTCCGGGTCGCGGTGGGCATGGCGGCGAAATCACCTGGGTGGCACCGCTCGACCGCCCGCCCGCCGCCCACCCGCCCGCACCACTCGTCCGTGCTCTCTTTCGTGGGCGGGGCCACAGTCTCGCTGGAATGTGGGCGGCCGCTGGGAAATGGACTGTCGCGTTGTATAGGCAGATAGCAGGGCCTGGCGGTGTGTCGACCTGTATGGGGCCGCCCAGGAAATTCTATGGCCATCTTTGTCGGCAGTTTTAGAACTTGCAGATGAGAAGGGGGGCGGGGGAGAAAGAAAGGAGGGAGGTTGAAGAGGAATTTAGAAAACTGATATGGAAATGTCCCAGCTATTGCAACAATTTTCATTCGCCTCTTAAGTGTACCAACTGTATATCCATTTAGCTCTCATTTTCGGAAATGAAGATTTTTATTAGATGGTTGAGATAAATGTATATTTGTGTATGTGTGTATGTATGTGCATGCGTGTCTCTCTCGATTATCAGTTTATCTATTTCCGTCTGTCTGTTTGCGTTTAGATATATTTTTGTACGTTAAAGGAATCGCCGAAATTATATGTAGATAAAATTAGTAGAAGGCTGTGTCTGATAAAAGACAGCGAAACAATTGCAAAAATACTTGCGTGTTGAAGTCAGGCTCAGATGCATTTACCGACGAGAGAATTTCTTATCATGAGGAAACCAAGAGAACGTGTCTACGAAGTTGGGGAAGAAAGGGGAAGAATGACCCTCGGTGGGCATGTCGAGCCTTGTTCCCCTGCCTCTTCCCCTTCTTCCCCTGTACTCGCCTTCGTCCTTTCCCTCTTCGTCACTCATTTCTTCCTCCTTTATCTCCCCTCCACCATTTGCTCTTCCCTATTCTCTTCTTCACCTGTCGCCATCTCATCTGTCCTCCCTATTACCTACATTTCCTTCCCTTGTGTTCCCCCTCGGCCTCTACCACCTTTTCCCTTCCACCTTTTCAGCCCCCAAACTCCCCTGTTCTTCCCTCCCTGCCTTCCCTGCTCTTCCGCCCCCTGCCTTCCCTGCTCTTCCGCCCCCTGCCCTCCCCACCTGCCCCTGACCTCCCCACCTGCCCCTGCCCTCCCCACCTGCCCCTGCCCTCCCCACCTGCCCCTGCCTCCCCTGCCAGGTGGAGCCGGCGTGTGTTGTACGCCCGTGTTGCACCTCCTGCAAGCGGGATGAAGACATCAAGAGAGTTAGTTGCCCCCCGCAGCACCGAGCTCTAATGATCCTAATTACCCATATTATGTTGTGCTCCTTCTCTCCCCTCCGCCTCCTTGCCTCCCCGCCCCCTTCCCCTCTCCCCTTATCTCCCTCCCTCCCCTCCCTCCCCACCTTCTCTCCCCTCACCTGGTCGCTGCATCGCCTCCACGCCCCTGCGACCTCCACCTTGACTCGGCGGCCGTCGTCTCAAGTGCCCTCTTCTGCGCAGGTCTTCGCTTCCTCGCTTTTATAGTCGTTGGCCTCGCTTTCTTCCACTCCTCTTCCTTCGCCTTCTTCTTCTTCTTCTATTTTATTTTCTTCCTCCCCCTCTTCTTCCTCTTTCTCATAATCATTTGCTACCAACTCCATTTTTGTCTTTTTTTTTTTTGCTCCCCGTCCCCA